AAGACCGTAGTTTCCCACTCATACTGAAAACACTCTTATGGGAAGCCATTTCAATGTTACGGCATGTCGTACCGTGTATGTGCTGTAAGACAAGATCGCAGTTTCCCACTCATACGAAAACCATTATTATGGGAAGCCATTTCTGATTTACGGCATGTCTTACCGTGTGTGTGCTGTAAGTCAGTACCGTACGTTTCCACTCATACGAAAACCATTCTTATGGGAAGCCATTACAATGTTACGGCATATCTTACCGCGTACGTGCTGTAAGTCAGTCAGTATCGTATGTCTCACTCATACGACAACCGCTCTCCTAACAAACAAAGCTTCTTACTCTCCTAACAGTTCACTTACCTGGGAACCAGCGAGTCTGAGCGAGTCAGTGTGGTTGGGTCAAGTTCAAAGATAGACGCGATATCATTGCCGTGGGGTACTGGCACTAGATGATACACTGGAGCAGAACCTTTGAGTTTTTGTCTCTGTGTGTCTTTAGTAGGATCTTCATCAATCTTGAAATAACAAAGAGTTAAAAAATTATCAAGTGTCTCTTCACAACTGAAAACTCTGCTTAGGGCCTCTTTCATGATAGACTGCTTAGTCATTCACCGTGCGCTGATCTAACTCAGGGCACGACTAGCTTACAGAACGAACCCTGAAACAGCCTATAGAGCGTTTTCACGTGACGTCGGCCAGTGGCCATTATGGGCACTAAAACAAAACATTTTCTATCCTCCGGGAATTGAACTCTATTTTTAGGTAAATACCGTGCAGAAAGTTTCTATTGTTTATGGCTGCCTTCTAACGTGAGTGAAAACGCTCTATGGGCTGATCAAACTCAGGGCACGACAGGCTTACAGATCCAATTGGTATTCAGCTTGTAAGGCTCTGCTAAGGGAAGTAAACTGGGAACCCAGGAAAAAACCCTTGAATCAAGGGGGAGATGTACAAACTCTGCTCACATTTGATGCTGCGTCCAGGAACTAAACCGGAGACATCAGAGATGAGCTACTAGTGCGCTACCGCTATGCCATCTTTGATTCCCAAATCACAAACGGACGTAATTTTATGGAAGGAGGAAGGGCAAAGGACACTTATAATGAGAGAGCAACCGCCACAGCAGCTCACATGATCCTTGAACCTTGATCCCACAGCCACACCCCATGCACACCTTGGCAAATATATAGCCCCYMCCCCCCCCCCCCCCCCCCCGTTTTTGTACTTTATATTCATATTCGATTCTAGTCCATAGAGCAATGAATCCTTACCTCAGCAGCAAGATAGTCTCCAGTTGCCAGATGTTTGAATCGAAACAGACAATTCCACAGCCCCGCACCACCCCTGCAAGGGTCATGTTGAACGACCTAACGGCGAAAAATAAAATGCAAAATCACGAATACCGTGAACACCTAAAAAATGCCTGTAATGTTTATAGTTTTCTTTCTGGGTAACTTTAATCAAAATAGGCAGCGAGTTCATTTAAAATTACTCAGTGAGATTTGCCGGCTGCCAGTTTTTATAGAAAACCCTGTATACAAGGTATTTTTGGCATAAGTTAGCAGACGTCACTTACCTCTACTTCCCAGAGTGCTTTTGAACTTGTTGCCGATGTTGCTGTTTGTCTGGCAGTTGTGCGCAGAAAAACAACAGACTTTTTCTTATAATCATCACTTGTCAGGAACTTTTCTTGCTCAGCATGGAAGAGACGTACAACATCCCCCTAAACAGATACAACAACTAGCAATCAACTATCAAGCTTACGGCGCTTCCTAAGTGCTTTATTAATGAGTGGAGCACGGAAAAAGCTGTTTATTTGTTTCATTATATAGCTACTTTTTTTCGGTATTGAATTTATTTACGCAAAATGAAAGACGGTCGCGTGCAGGATCTAGCAGCACTTCTTGCGCGTGGATGGCGTCAGCACTGTGCTCTGTTCTGACACTAATAAAGCACAGTTTTCGACCAATCATCGCGCGCGTACTATCATAACTATATAATATTTTTTTACACGAGTATAATCGATCCGGCGCACTCATTGGTCACAATTTACGTCTCATGCTGTTATATTCACCCGTAGGTTAATATAATATACATGTGCACGCTTGTTTGTTGCATGATGTGTGCCAAACAAAACAAAACTCTGTCTTGTTTTAAAAATAATAAAGTTTAGCCATTCAGAATGCAGCAAAGCCATTGCATATATATTTAACAATTATAATTCGAAGGCGAAGTGAACATTGTGAAATATTCACCGAGATGCGAGTCTTCGAGTGGTATGTAAAATAATATATTTGGTCCATTACTTACTCCTTTTAGAATGTCCTCATCATTCTCTTCGTACGACAAAAACAGTGAAATCTTCCAACTGGTGTTACAGTTTACACAGTTCACCTGGAGCAGAGTGACAAGGTATTGATGTAACACAATACTACATCTGGTAACACAACACTATAGAGTTTCAGGGAAATAGGCAGGTGGGGTCAAAGGGGGCATGCCCCCCCCCCCCCCACCACTCCTCGTGGCAACAAAATGATGGCTTTTTAGAATTTATATGGTAATTCCTTTCTTCTAAGTTTTGCAAAATTAAAATGTAAAACAAAATGCTGGTTCTTTTTCTTTGGTTCCCCATTTCAGGGGCCCGAACAAAATCGCAGATTTTTGAATGCCCCCTGCCCCTGGACATGAAACACTTCGGTAGTTGTCACACCAATACTACACTATGATATATGTTGCAGTTGTCACACAACACTCCAGTAGTTGTCACACGACACCATGTCACTTGGTCATGTAAGACATACCTCCTTGCATCCTGGATTGTCAATCAGTTCAAGATTACTTGCATGTAATGGCTGCCCAGCATTTACTGGGTTCAGAATTACCATATCTCCTATTACGACCTATCGATACAAAAATACAGCCATTAACCACATAAATATATATCATACTTGGAGCTCTTTTAACCGCATGAATATACAGCATATTATACTTGGACCTCTTTACAATTGGCGTTTTCCCATTTCAGACCATGTGTCATTCCCTAAGGTATCATTTCTTTGTTTAATGGTTGCGCATGAGAAGACACAATTATATGGATACAACTCAATTAAAAAATTAATAAAAATCATTAATATCCCAGTCGGCATTATTACTTACATTGTCACCTGCTGCTCTTAATTTGTAAAATGGGGAAATATAAAACCATGAGCCCTGAAATTATAAAAATAATAGAGAAAAAAATTAAATAGGAGAAATAAGAAAGGTTGTGGGAAAGAATGGGAAAAATGATGACATTGATAAAACTGAAACTAAAACTAAAACATACGTAAGAAAAATTAATTAAAGGGGAAAAATGTATGGAATTTGGGATAACAAAATGGAATTAAATGAATGGGCAAATAAGTTATACTATGGGACAAACTAAATAAAGACCAATAAATCAAATGGAAATGGAAAAAAGAATGATAGAAATGAATGATTAGAATTCCAGCAAATGAAGCTGCAATGGATGGATAGTTGACCTCATTTCCATTGGGATCCAAAGTCACCCTCATTGCATTCTTTTCTCTTAAAGCAGGCAGACGTTTGTTCACTGTCAGGAACTTGTTACTCTTGACATGAAGAAGCTGTSAAAAATATATAAATAAATATGAAAATCTGTTTCTAGAGGATGACATTTGACAGTAATTCAACTGATAAACTTGCAGTTGTTTTTTTTATGGCACAACATGCAAAAGTATACTCAGTGATAATGTATTTCCATACTTTTATTCACAGGCTTTTGTATGTTAAACTGACACATTTCAATGCCAAGCTGGTTGGTCTTACCAAATAAGGCATGTACAGCTCATTTATAGTGCAAAGTCCATGCAGAGACATATTCAAATACATTAAATGTGGTCATACTTTTGCACATTCTGCTGTAATATCTCTAGTTGCTTCACACCAAACCAAAATGGTTCTCTGGTGTTTTACCTGAATAACACTTCCATACTGAACAACACTGCTAAGCATCTTCTTGTACTCAGTTTCATTCTGTTTCTTTTCCAGTTCTGCTGCATGCTATAAAAAAATATAATTCAAAGAGTACTGCTAACTTAATCATTTTAATCAAACRAGGGCAGAATGTGTTCGTTTTTATTGCAAAGCAGACCCTCCCCACCACCATTAGGAAATGGCAGGCTCATTCTGTGTGAAAGGTAGATACACAATATACCCTCCTAAGACCCTCCCCACCCCTTGGAAATTCCAATACCCCTCCATGGGGGAGGTATGGATATCTTCTGGATAAACATTATACTGGCTGCAAAATAACCCCTTGTATTAATGACTTATCCTGGAATAAAATTTCAAAAAAAAATCATGATAAAGCATTTTATAAATATCACAAGTAAGAAATATTCCAAAATATGAAAATTAGGCTCCTGAAAATTGACTTTTGATTTTGAGTTTTAATAAAAGACAAAACAACTTTAGTTTGAATTTTCATGAAGGTAAAGTTATCTTGCAACGGGTTTTTATTGAAAACTTAAATCTTGTCCTTGGCAATTGAGTGTGAATGCCTCAAGGGTACTAAGTAATCGTAGCTGCCAAAATTAACAACTGAAAAAGTGGTTCATTCTARACAATTTTCATGTTGCTCAAGGCATTTAATTTCTAGCAAAGCAGATGTTCAAAAGATAAACAGAAATAAAATCCTTTGGCTTTTTCAAACTTGTTCAAATATGACTCTATCAGATTATAGAGTTAGTCAATCAATATTCTGACAACAAAGAGCAAACGACATGAAAATCCAATAAAAACTCTTAGAAAATCAAATCTGATTTTTGAACAGGAACAATAAATATTTATCTTGAGACAATGAAAGGAAAAAAGTGAGTGACATTAATAGGATATGAAATTAGGACTAAATATACTATTAAGCTTAATGATGTTTTTGGAATTTGTAAACATCACTCATATACTCAGTGAGACATCAATTTTTTTGTCTAAATACATCCAGAACTAAAAACTAAAATAAGTGCTGCTCTTGCTATGAATTAAGTTTCAAGTACTGTAAGATCTTTTCCAAAATTTAAATGCGGTATGATTTCGTATGTGTCATTATTTTGACAATCGAGATTGATACAATGACAAAGAGTGACAATTCTGAATTAAAAAGGTAAACCAACAGCGATAGAAAACATTGATATATTAAAAATAAATAAAAATKAGCTAACTGGGCTTCATGCGCACACATATTGGTACATCAACATCTTCTACCTCTAACCTATTTATTATACTTTATAATACAATGCATTGATATACAGTCATATATATATRATGTTCCTTTTATCATGGAAGGACTAATCTCCAATGTGCCAGTTAAGTACGCGCCAAAAGCGAAGTGATTATAAGTGAAAATTTACCAAGATGTGAGTCTTTGAGCACCTAGGTAAAGGCAGTATTCACCAATAATTCCTTCACTTTTAGTAAATAATATTGTTTTAGTATCATATATTACGCAGGAAATTATTTGACAGAAATAGACAACATTAGTTTATTTCTAAAGCCGATATTTATTTCCTATTTTGAAAGCAGCACGAATCAACAAATAGCACTGCGGAATCCTATATTTATYGGTACATGATTACTACTGTAAGGAATAGTCTGAAGTTCTCAACCAATCAGTTCRTTCAATTTTCTACAATCACCTGAATAATCATACTAAGTTTTACCTTTCTACATAACACAGTGCTCAAGGTGCTCAAGCTACCAGCCTCTAATATGTCCCCCTCCCTTCTAATAAGCCCCCAGTCCACAAGCACTGAAAAAGAATAAGCCTTCAGAGGGCTAATGGGCGTGATATTTATAAGTTGCCTCGAACATAGCAACAAAAACAATAGTAATGTGATTATAATCAAAGTTTATTTGTACGACAAGACACCACTGCATGGTAATTGAATATTTATATCATTACTAGGAAAAAATAAAATAAAATATTAAATAAAAGAGGAAGATGAAAGGTTTGTTTGGATGTTGCAATTAAACAAGATTGTAATTTCATCTATGGGATGTTAATTCGAAATCATGAAATAATTATACTATTGCTGAAGTGTATGGTTACTTGTATAGTGAGTTGGTGGTGATATGCTCACTCCTCACTCCTTTAGTAATAAATCAGTTTGATTCCTGGCTGCTAGATGCTAGACCCCTAAGAGATACCACAACAAATCGCCTAGGATAAGCCATATCGATGCGCGCTTCTCTCCTTTTCCGACACCCTAAGAGTTACCAGAAAAAGCTGATTTTCAAAAATTCGCATTTAACACCCTAAAAGATACCAAATCGCGAATTTTTACCCCTAAGAGATACGAAGAGCATCCCTGGTACTTTTTTCCCGGGACCTGTTCCTTCCCTGAATTCTGAGAAATTTTCATTTTTTTCCTTCTTAGAGCTGCCCTTATCTTATACATTAGCTTGAGAAAACAGAAGTCCTTTCACTCCCCTTGATTGTAATGGTTTTGTTGACTACAAACTTTGAATCAGTCTCAACACAAAGGTCTATATTCTTGACGAGAATACTGAAGAAGCAGAAACAAAAGTCGTTCCAGCTATTCTTGGATCTTCGAATGACCTATCTCTTATTGCTTTTCATCTATTCCCTTTGGCCATGAAAAAAWTTTTTGAAATAGGTTTATGACATTAAGATTCCATTTAACATTCTCCCAGTAAATGAAGAAATGATATGGCAATGAATCAAATAGAATTCATTCAAAAAGAAATCTTTCTGAAATTGTTTTAGCCGAAACTTGTTTCCACTGAATATTTATTTACTCTTTTACTCCGACGAAGGACTAGCGTCCGAAACGTCAGTAAGTTTTTTCATCTTTTCACGGTGTATAATTTATTTTTTCATCATTACTGTTTCATTAGAAACACTGACGCAGCTCACACTAGTTTTTAGCTAGTTATATCTTTTGAATAATTATTTGTCGTTTTGGCATACGTATAAAAGATTACTAGTTGAGGATTTATACCTAATGAAAACAACTTACTACAAAAAGAAATCAAAAACTCAAAAAACAGACTCTCATTGATTAGAAATACCCAAAGTCAACTGGCTAAGAATAAAAGTACTTAATCTTCTTTTCTTAATAACACATGCAAACAATTAAATAGATCTATGAAAACTAAAGTATTGTCTAAGACCAGGGTGTACTTGACATCTATAGAATTCTAAAGCATAAAAAAATCTGAGATATTTTGCCACTTAACTTTTCATATACAGTAAGGTATTACCAAAACACTGAGATTTTTTCCACATTAATTCACAATTTCTATGTAATTAAAAGACTTGTGTGGTAACATTTTAATATTCAAAGTAGATAGTAGCATATGTTATGAAATCTGATGTGAAATAAGATTGTTATAGTAGTTATYGTATTTTACTACATAAATCTTTGTCTTTTAATTTATTTGTTTTTCGAAAAAAAATGATTACAATAATGAAATTACTCGGAAATTTCGATAAATCTATGACTTACTGTTTTTTAACCTCCAACAATTAAAAATTTTAGTCCATTTTTTTCTTTTTTTCTAAATCTTTTATTATCCTTTTCATATTTGAACAAAAGAGACTTTGTTTTACTTTTTCCTTGGAGGATGCAAAAAGAAAGATTACTTTTTAAAATATTCATGATGCTCAATTGAAATCACTCCCTAGACTTGTTCTAAAATTCTCTTCAACAATATACAGTACAACATTGTATATATAAGTATATGCAGATGCGGAAAGCCAATTGAGTGCCAATCTCTTAACAATATRACCTCTTTTAATACCACGTCGCTTTCAATATTGGCACCTTTTCTATGATATTGTGTACTATACTATTAGTATTTTTTCGGTTCCAGAAGTCAGGATAAAATTACCAATTGTTATGGCCACAAGGAAGTAAGGGTCAATATTAATACAAGAATACACAGGAAAACAAAATTCCTTTTTTTTTTTGCTTTTTTTGGCTGGCAAGAAAAATATGCAAAGCTTGATCTACGAGAAGTCAAAAATGAATGAAAAAATAATCAAATYGTAATATGTAATGACAAATAAATATATTATGAACACACGTTTTGAATGATCTTCAAATGCAAAGCGCAGTCCTTTAGGAAATGAGATTCCTGAAGAACTGACTCTGACTCTCACACAACATGTTTCAATATCTTCATTAAAACCAAGTAAGATAAAACGGTTTTCGGTTCACAATATAGACGGCAGATAGTGATCAAAATTAGCTTACGGATAAATTAATGTTCACATTGAAAACATAAAATCGTAAATGGAATAATTATTAATGCATTTATTTGGAGGCGTCCTTGTGAAATTAAAAAAGGTCAAAAATTTTATGAACGCTTTCTCGAGAATTGAGAATAGGAATAATATAAGAATATACACAATATCAAATATAAAAGTATACGTACATGGAGTTTCTTCAGGAGTACTGCATCTGTAGCAGACGTTGTTGGTTTTGCTGCCTTCCAGAATTGTTTCTGAGCGGAATATCTGTTCATTGGGCATATTTTGAACAGACAATCTGAGAGAAAAAATCACCGGGGAAAAAATGGAAGGTAGTTGAAAATAGAAGTTTTAAAAATGATAATATAAGTGTCCTGCTTTTGGTAGCAGTTGGTAAGAATGTTACACCTACCACGGAATTTTTTCGGCGGATTTGAAAGATCACCAGCAGAGGGTTGTACAACACATCGGTCATCGATGAGACTGTCAAAAGAACAAGACTTGAGTTTAGAAAATTATTTGAGCATTTTTTTACCAGTATATGTTCAGTGTTTGGAGTGTTATTTCTACTGACATAGACAGACTCTTACCCAAGTGTGCTAATAAAGCCATTGACAGTTCCCTCGGCGTAGAGAGATGTGATATCTCCAATGTGAAGAAAGCTCGTCTGCTGGGCCATCTTGGCTAAACCTGCTTACTCTTCACTCTCAGCGCTCAAAGAACCCTGTTCCTCTCGGCTTACAGCCTAAAATCCCACCAAAACCAAGCTGCAGGGCCAAGAAAAGATTCTCTCGGACATTACGCTGTCGTTGTTGAACCTCAAGCGAGTCTACAGAGGAATTCGTCGAGAAAACAAACAAAGACAAGGAGAATAAAAAAACTAACTTTGCTCTAAAATCATTCACATGCACACGGACAATGAGACTGGGACCAGTCAACACACAACATTCCCTCCCCTCCCCCCTTAATATACACATATCAAAACATTGTGAATAATTAAAAATAAGAACTTATCMTCCACATTAAAGCATTTCAAAGATTGGAGCTTATTTCTTAATTCGTAAGTTTGAACTTGAAAGCATTTTTTAGAGAAGATGTGAGAGAAGAGGTTTTTTGAGTTGTTTTTTTTTTGGAAAAACATTTGTACTTGGGGGTGAGGGGTGCGTCGTTTTTAACCCTAGCGTGTCAGTAGACCTACCAGGGTCCTTATAGCCTCGTATTTGTATAATCCATTTGTGTTTCTGTAAGGATTTTACGCTTTATTTTCTTTAATTCCAGTGTTTTTAACATTATCTGATTACAAAGATTTTCTAGGTTCCTGTTGGGTTGTTTAAGTGGAAACGACAGTACGTTTAGAAACATCAGTAATGTTTACTCAAACTCGTTTCTTCCACACTTCTCGATTCATTCGATCGAACCTTCGCTCTGATGCAGTTAAAATATTTCGTTCGGCTTTAAAAGCAGTCACACCACAAGAAATGGTCAAAAATGCTCTAACTCTGAATAAAACGAGGCTGTTAGTAAACAAAGAGACAGAGTATATGGTGTACAAGAATGTGTACGTGGTTGCTTTTGGGAAGGCAGTGCTTGGAATGGCCAAAGCTGTGGAGGACATCTTAGGCCAGAATATTGTGCAAGGAGTAGCGAGCATTCCATGCGGTCTACAAGACGCCATTAAGGTACACACAGCTCACTGCTTTAACCAATAGTTTGTGTTATCTTAATAAGCATGTAATCCAAACGATGTGACAAGATGTGTATAATGGGCAATTGGTAGATCATTAATAGGCCAGCTATGTCTAACATTAAATGGGCCCTCTTCAAAAAGAGACTGTTTTTAGTAACTCGACGTGGGAAAAGCGACTTTGGTAATGTGGGCACTGTTAGTCTAGTGTCAGCCTAGCCTTAGGATAATATTTACAGTAGTTATGTTAATATTTAAGTGTTGAATCATTTAAATGCAAGAGTCTATTTATAGTCCTATCTAGTATAGAGCACATTAATAATTTCATTATCGCTAACTATAGCTATATATGTTAGCACCCACTATAAGAGTCGCCAGAGGAATTATCTGAGATGCATTTATACAGTACCTAGGCCAAAATGCACTTAGGCCTAAATTATCTCACAATTCTTTCATTGCAATTAACCCCTAACCAAGGCCACTCAGAGCTAAAGGTCTTTGCATGGACTATGTACGATATATATGTATATTTGTTTTAGGAAGAGAACATAGGGCTTGTGCTTCAGTGCTGGGATAGCAGACGTATAGGGGGTGGGTAAGCAGCAGTAGACAATGTAATATATGTAATGGGTCTGTTGCTAATACCATGGCATATTTGTCAATTACAACAGCACACAAAGAAATTATGGACCAGACCCCTTGCATGTGATGTCAAAGCAGCTCAATTTGGAGGACAAAAACAAAAGATTTTCAATCTCCTGATATTGGAAACCTAATTGTTATGTCCTCCAAATTAAACTACATTCTGACGTACTGCAAGGCTGATCTATAGATTGGTTTCCTATTATTGTTCTTTACTTTCCAGACACCACCTAAGCAGGGGTAACAATGTATATATGGCTGCTCAAAACCTGGACATAGCATCTAGCCACAATGGACTTGTCCAGTCAAAAGGACCAGCCTAAGAGGTGTTTGGCTGGACAAGTGCCAATTTTGGCCAGACATTGTCCATTGACAGACAATATTTTTAGCCCTGATAAGCTAAGAGAGCAGTTAAGCAATGAGTAACTGATAGATAATGAGTCTCATGCATTTTTCCTTTCACTTATTCTTCCATTAGGAATCAGGAAATGAAGAATTTATTAGAAACACTCTGCTACAAGAAAACAGCCCGATCAACGTCATTGAAGGAGCAGCTCACAATCTGCCAGATTTTAGAGCACAATACGCTGCTTCACAAATCCAGAAGGTTGCTGTAAAAGTCAAAGATGAAGATCTGCTTATAGTTTTGATTTCTGGAGGTGGTTCTGCACTTCTGCCATCACCAGTAGATGCAATTACACTAGAGGAGAAACTACAGACCATAAAAGCCCTGGCTTCAAGTGGAGCAACGATCAATGAACTCAACACTGTAAGGAAAAATCTATCCAAACTAAAAGGTGGAAAGCTGGCAAAGATTGCGCATCCAGCAAAGGTGAGAGTACTTAGAGCTTACACACCTGCTTTGCCTGTAGTACATATTTTTAGACCAAGATAGGATGTTTCCATAGAAGGGTCATTTTTTTCTATCATTAAAATTTTTATTCCTGAGAATTTTATGGCAAGTTACGTAGTTATGGCTATGGTAAAATATGGTATGGCTACAAATTTGCCATATTTGAGAACTTTAGATCTGTCATGACCAAATATTGGTTACTTTCTTTTTAACACTATGAAGTTTCAAAAAAAAACTTGTTATAAACAAGAGAGTGACTATGAAGTTTCATGGTCATGTGATCAATACAACACTTGTGAGAGCATCCAGCAATTATCAACTGGTACATTTTCGTACTATTTTGTATTTATTTCACGAAAACCACTCTAATGACTGACAATATTTTTTTGCCATTAGGTAGTAACCTTGATTCTATCGGACGTGATTGGTGACCCACTGGATATAATAGCAAGTGGACCAACAGTTTTTGATTCCTCTACACCCAGAGACTGTTTGCATATTATTTCCAAGCTACATGCTGTGGAAAAGGTCCCTAGGTCTGTTCTAAACTTCTTAACAAAGAGGGAATCGCATTCTGGTTCCAAGCAGAATGCTGAGGATGATTTTTCTCATGTCAAAAATGTTTTAGTAGGTACAAATAGAATTGCAGTCAACGCTGCTGCACAAGAAGCCAGCTCTCTAGGTTATACTCCAGTTATTGCTTCTACTACACTGGAAGGAGAGGCGCGTGAGCTTGGTGTCGGGTTTGCAAGCCTTGCTGGCGTAGCAATAAAAGGAGAAATGCTCTCGTCAGATGTGCCTCCAGGAGGAAAGCTACTCTTGAATGACAATTTAGTTAATGAACTGAAAAGTGTGAAAAAACCTGTCTGTGTCATTGGGGCAGGAGAGACGACAGTCACTCTCAAAGGTAAAGGTATAGGAGGTCGTAACCAAGAAATGGCACTCTCCTGTGCATTGACAATGCACAAAGCTCTAAAAACCCAACCTGGAGGCTTACCCAGCAGCGATGAACAGGTTGCTTTTCTAAGTGCTGGAACAGATGGCCAGGATGGGCCTTGCCCGGCAGCTGGTGCTATTGCTGGACCTGGACAGGTTTCCGAGGCAACCATAGAAGGAATGGACCCCCAGCAAGCAATAGATAACAATGATTCTTATTCTTTCTATTCTAAATTCAAAGGTGGTAGAGATCATATTGTTACGGGGTTAACTGGTRCTAATGTGATGGATATTCAGCTTTTACTTATAGACCCAAAAAGAAACTAGATGTTCAATAATACAATAATAAAATGAATACTTTATTTCTTGATATTTTTCACATTTAGCAGTTTGTTTTCACTTAGTAGCAAAAAGCTGGTAAAACACAAGAACAGTACCCATATATGTTCACTGTTACTCCATTGACAGTCCACTATCGATATCACCTGGCATTGCACGGCCAACTAGTCTCCTACGCAGCCGCTATTAGCGTCGTCACACAATGCTCACTCCCCTAAGTAGCTACACTATTAGATACTAATAGCAGCTGCATAGGAGACTAACGGCCAACTTTCTAAAGAAAGATACTCCTATCGGTGGACAGTGGAATGACAAAAAGCTGTCAAATGACTGACAAATGCCTGACAGTCAATCGACAGGGCATCTGGGTGGCTGATCTTGTATTTTACTAAACACGCTGTCACTTTGCAGTTGCCGATGGAGCCAATGAAGGTTCGCTGCTGGGTGGTCATGAGAATAGTCTGTGCATAGCACAACAGGTTTTCGCATTTTTATCTTGTGGCATATGCTATAATCTTTAGATATAATGTCGTAAAATGTAAAAATATTGTATAAAATGGATGAAATTAATTTAAATGGAATTTGAATATTATAGAATATGTTAACTGTGTGGTTTTAGAATGACTGATAATAGATGTATTTTTGTTTCTGTTTTTTCCCTCTTCATTTATCTTGCTTGGCGAGGGTTAATTTCTTCTCAAAGAGGATAGAAACAAGAAACCTCTGCCACGAAAAATTATTTAAGAGCTTGATATCTTTTTTATCCACTAGTTTTCCATATGATATTGCTCAAGTAGCTCAAGGATTGCTCGTCCACGATATCATATGAAAGGTTGTGATTAAAAACAATATCAAGCTCCTAACATATTGTGATAATCTCTATATATCTTAGAAAAAAAGTGATTATATTTAATCCATAGAATAAAATTAATATTAGTCTAACAGACAATAATAATATTAATAATAATAATAATAACAACAACAATATTTAATTGAAATAATGAAATAATGAATGAATATAACTAATAATAATTTGAATAAAAATTATTTGCTGAAGGCGAAGTGAATATCGGAAAATATTTACAGAGACATGAGTTTTCAAGCGGAGAGGTTAATATTTCCCGATATTCACTGAGCCTGAGGCGAATAATTGTTTTAGTATTTTTAACACAAGTGAATATAATAAATAATGGAGATAGAGTGTTTTTCTCTGCAACTGGCACAAATCAACAGACAAGCATGGGTGTAATCTTGACCAATGGGTGTGCAGGATTTTTCTATATTCACTTGTGTTAAAATACTAATAATAAATAATAATGATAAAATAAATAAAGGAATACATGATTTCTATCATTTTCTTTAGTTTTCAATCTGGCATTAGATGTTTTTTCATGGATTATATGGAATCACTTAAAATATAAGTAATAAATTCATAATGTAGTATTTGATTTATATCAAAAGCAATCAAATAATATTAGAACTAAAGTATGAATAGATATTGTAACAAATGTAGAAAAAAAAAAAGTTGAAAACTTACCATTCTTTTGATTATATGATTTATGACTGAAGACATACCCCCCTTCCCTCCCCTCCCCCCAAAACGTTCATATCATTCTCAAAGAATGCTCAGCCGATTGGACTCATTTCCAAAGCATTGAACATTTTATTAGTTTCAATTATACTCTTGTTTCTGAATTAGTAAATCCTTCTTGATAAAGCTTTGAATTTTGGCTTAAAATAATATTTTCATGATTCAATTTAAAAGTTCCGTGAATTCCAGTAGTCCTTGATCCAACCGTTCCATTCCATGTTTCCATATTTGGACATGACGCTTGAGTGGTTTGCGTTCAAATGCCCAGGGTAACCGAGGCTGGTTATTTAAATTCCTGAACGAGTAAATAAACTAAAAACTCACAACGATGAGACTTCTAGTCATTAAGTAAACACTTTTCTCCTCTTTATATATCAAGTTAGGTTCAAACTTCAGGGAAAAAGCAAGACTTTAATGAAGACGCAAAGGTATGTAAATTTCAGAGTTTTCTTAGCGTCGATATCTATGCCAAAGTACATGTCATATCAAACGCTCTTCAGCTGTTTCAACATGGATTAGAAAATTCATAAAGATTTCAAGTCTTTTTGAAATAACGGTTATTCTTGACTCGAGATTTCAAAATCTTTAGCCTATCTTTTAGGTATTGTATGGATTTTATTCTTACTTTATCTCAAGTGTTTTAGGTTTTTCGATATTTCAATGTCTTGTCTAGAGATCTGCGTTTGACAGCCGGCTGTTTAGTGGCTTGAATAATGCTTTAAGTAACGCTGATAATATTCCAATTCTCTATTTCTTTTTCTCTTATCCTTTGGAGTATTTCAGATTATTCCTTCCTACTTCTAGATATACCCTTGATAATTTTATGAATTAATTTTTTGTTTGAAATAACGTTGGTCAAAATACCTGCTTTGCGGAATTAGGACGAATGCTTCGGTCGCAAAAGTATGACGACTCATTTTCGCATTTTGACTCGAGTAGAAATAAAATTTCTTATATTTTCGAGAACGATTTTAAAGTTTAATGTAGAGGAATCCTGTAACCAAGGATTTTGGCGACAAATGGAATTGTAACTTTTGTAACTCGCGCCTTGGAGATCGTGTTTCCAGATTTGGTATTTGACAAATTGTTCGAGTTCGGTCATCCTTGTGCCAAAATACAATAAAAAATTAAAATACTACTAAACTACTAAAACCTGCGAGAATACTATTGCACAGGAGCAGTTAAAGTTAATCTCAGGGAATTGAGTGAATACATTTTCGAAAATCCTATCAAATGAAATCATCGACTGATGTTATTTTAATACTGTAGTGAGCCGGGTCCTGAGTGAGAGCGTAAGATGTTATTAGAATCAATCGATATAATACCACTATGTGCCCTCTATTTTCTTATTTTTTCGTATTATTCCTTTTGTCTCGCTGATTATTTGCGAACTGTTTGACTCCGCATTGTCATTTCCAATCGTAGGTGTATTTTTGAACTTCATAAGTCATCATTGCAATACGATCTTCTGGTCTCCATTGGTTACAAACGTTGTTTACCCCGTAAATAATCCAAAACGACTTCAAATTTGCAACGCAGGCTTGCCTTTTGGCTTAGTATATATAAAGAAACAGGTTTTTCTTCATAACTCTAGCACTAAGCAGGTATTTTAATGCATTATTTTCCATAAATGTATTTTAAAACTGGCTTATAAACATGACGTGACTCATTGAGGTTTCTTGTCTCGAGATGGCGATAGACAAAGAGATGTAAGTTAGAACTAAAATATAATGAAGATTTTCTAGGCTTACTTCATCCTATATATTAATTGCTTTATATTTGTTATCTCTTAACTGAAATCAAGGTATGTTATTTTGAGCTATAAAAACCCTAAATGCACGTTCAGTGAGGGCACATTTTAATATATTAATAAATAATTAATAACTTAATCGCTTTCAGAAATTAAAATATTTCAAAAGAATGAAATCCTCAGGAGAATACATTTTGATATCCTGGTAACTGTATGACTTAACTATATTTTGTTTTTGTTTTGTAGCATGAAGAAATGGAAGGAGGTTTTACAAGTGAGCTAAAGATGCAAGACCTAGAGTATGGCATGCTTCCGAATGATAAACTACATTCCAGAGATTATAATTCCCAACGAGACGGTTTTACTACTGTTTTCTACTGCAATGACTGTGAATACCAAAGAACTTTGTCCAAAGGACACCAAAAAACTATTTTAAACTCAAGAAGTAATGGTAGCCGTTATTCATTATGGACAAAAACTTTTACTCAAATTGGAAAGTTATCAAAAATGACATTCAACATGCCGCATTTTGCTGCAAGATTTCTTAACTATATATTATATTTTATAGCAGTTTTATCAAGACTTTTATCTTGTTGGAAGTACAGTTATAAGAGAAACTTTTTACAGTACGTTTTGATATTTTATGGAGTAATTCTTCTCTCAACTCATTCAATTGGTGAAGAACTTACATTCATGTCTCAAGGACAAGGAAAGCTATTAGATTCATTTGTTCCAGTTGGACTAGGATTTGTTTACAAAATACCAAACAGAACATTTGATTGTGATATTGAAAGATTAGAGGTAAGTCCTTGCTTTTTTTGATGCAAACTATAAAAACTCTAACTGCAGCCATAGTTTTTTCCTTCTCTATCATTGCCTATAGTTCAGTGGGGATTAAAATCTAAAACCCATGCAGTTTAGAGATATTGAACTATAATACCTTAAGCAGTGCACTTGCATGCCACAAGAGAGTAGCTTTAGTTTGAGACAAATATAAAACTGTTTGAAGAAGAAGATAATGTGTAAAAGGATATTGAATACTGTGAAAGAAAATGATAGAGTAAATTTAGAGAGGTTACAACAATGTAAAAGGACTTTGTCAAATACCACTTGAGCAATATTCACTTTCACTCTTAACTGGAACCGTTTTTGCAGAGCTGCAAAACACCAAGAAGTTACTTAAATTACTCTTTATTGAATACGGTCAAAAATCAATTTAAAAATGTAATATGTTTTCTTTAATTGTTTTTAAGGTATCTGAAGGTAGTAGTAGAAATCTTCCCCAGTGGCTCGCTTTTGATGAAACAAAGCAACAGTTTGCTGGCGTTCCGTCTATGAAAGACATTGGAAGTTACGAGATCCTTGTAGTAGCTTTAGCAAAAAGTGGAAGCAAAACTGGAAAGATATGTGGAATGAAAGCATTTACTATTTACGTTTCTTCAGAGGACAAAAATCCCAGTTTCGCTGGTCCTGTCTTTGAGAGCGTTTCAGTTGGTCTTGGAAGTTCCGAAACTTCGCCAAGTAAATCAAACGAACATTTTGTGTGTGATCCAGGGTTACAAGCTGTGCTTGCAACTGTTGTTATCAGTACTGATATCCACGAACTTGGCGGACATAAACGCATGGGAATCCTTCAAGGAATGGCACAACACATGAACTTTTCTTTCAACAGAGTTGCATTTTTTCATCACGACAATGTTCATCCTTTGATCTCACAACTGGAGAACCCGTCCATTATTGTCTCAGGTTCTGGTGATGGACGCTACAAGAAAGGACCCAAAAGTTTACTCACATGGAAAATCAGTTGTGGAGCCCTGAGGTTAGGACCAACGTACCTCACAGAACTAGAGACCAGTGCACAAGATGGGACAATAAGTAACGTCCTTGGCTATCCAGTCGTTGGATGGCATGTAACATCAGGTGTCCAGAAGGCAAGACATAGAGCTCGTCGGGCAGTTGCTGGTACTCCAACACCTACAGCAACAGCTATCCTCCCCACGCAATTTAAGAACGTCTCTACTGTCACTATCACCAGCAGTATTTCTTTGACAACAGCTTTTGTAACACCGAACTCTACCCTGATGCCGTCTTTGTCGTTGTCCAGTACGCTGCAAGTGACACCCACATTGTCAGTGTCGATGTCTTCAACGTTAGCTGTAGAATCAACGAGGAATTTCACATCTAGCATGCCGATAACAAGCCCTACTTTAGACACAGTTGTCATAACGAGTACGCCAGTTTTGTCTTCCTTGAATTCCACTACTATTTTCGAGTCGGTAACCTCTTCTCCTACAGTCAATGTTTCAAGCAAAGTCAACAGTACTTTCATTTCGAGCACGATGAATAGTACGAGTACAAGCGTTATTTTAAGCACTGTGTTTAAAAACACAAGTAGCGTTGTTTCTTCATCAGTGACATCTGCAAATGCCACGAGTACTAGTTTATTGCCTGTGTTGAACAGCACCTCTGTGCTAGAACTGGAAAAATCAACCGTCTTCCTGTTCAACAGTAGCAGCATCATGACAAGTACAGTTTACTTAATTACGCCAAGTTCATCAATACTTCTCCCTGAAAATTCTTCTGCGATTCTAAACAGTACTATTAGCACGATGCTTCCAGGAACTAACTTCAGTACAGCAAGTCTAAACTTGACTCAAACGGCATCAGTTTTTACAAGTAGTGTGCCTTCATCATTGCCTGTCAATAGTAGTGCTGTAACATCAGTATTGCCTCCTTCGACCTCAGTCATGTCAAGTTCTGTTGCATTGAACAGTACAGTGTTCATGAATCAGACGAGTACCATTCAACCAAGCTTCCAGACATCGTCTTTTTATCCTCCTTCTCCGACAACGACTTCGAGTTTGACGCTGAACGTTACTAACATGACGTCGAGTGCCGTCTCTTTGATGGTGTCCAATACTTCTGTTGTCGTGTTGTCTAGTTCTTCTAACACAACAGATGAAGTCCTGAAGACTTCAGTGGTCAATTCAAGTTCGGTTGTATCTGTTGTGCCAACCTTGTCCACAGTCCCCATCATAACATCAGTAAACATGTCTACTACAGCGTGAGTAAACAAATTTCCTTGGAACTGAAGATGTAAAGTAAAATATGTTTAGCTCACAGCGTCTTCTTCTCTTATTTTTCTCCAGGTTACTATCAACAGTCATGAACACAAGTGTCGTTGATGGTAAGTACACGATGGAATGCCAAGTAATGCTTGTGACGGTTAACAACCGGTGAAAACTAAATCTTTTGCTAGAAATACTTATGATCTCTTGATTTTTTCGCTGAATTTTTGCAACGTTGTCTGCTCTAAACCTCAACTTACTAATTTTTATTTGAACAACAGATATTTAAAGATAATAAATTTTGTTCGTAAGAATTTGTTAAAGGCATGTAAAAGTACTAATAATGGAGAACAACAGCTATGCCGTTCCTCGGTTACGCAACTTGTACTTCGTACTTATGATTTATGACCAAGTGTTCTTATCCAAATAAGTACGAAATCCCAAAGCATGAATCATGCATGTAGAACAATCAACAAACCTTACGCATGCCTTGAACAAATAGCACTGTTACCATGGAAACGGATATCCATCCCATAATTTGTGAATGAGCATGATATTTATGAATGTACACGACACAAAGGATGGCATAAATATAATCACTATTAATAATAAATGTAAATATATCACCGTGTGTGGTTCACGTAACACATCACTAAATGCACTAAAGATGATATATGTATAAATTGAAATGCACTAAATGAACCATTTTACCATGATAAACACATGAGCACTGTAACCAACTTGTTGTTAGCCTGCGTTGCCGGTCAATGGGTCTGGTGAGGCCAGAGGAGGGCGGGCAGAAGAAGGGTCGAGAAAGAGGTCTCCTTCCAACAGCTCCGCCGCCTTCTTCCTCTTCCTCACTCCTTCTAGATCCAGGCAATGCTGACTTTCATATCACCAGAAACACCAGCACCCAATTATCTTGGGTTCACGGGTCGCACGTAGGATTGCAGATATCCACTTGGTATTGTGAGCACCATTGATGCTGACTACTTAAAAGATGAAGTCTAAACATCTCTCTAAACACGGTATAAACAACAATAAACCATTTCACTTTATTCTTTGTACCTAAACTTCTTAAACATTTACTTTTGCATGGGAATACGGTACCAATCCGCTTTTTAAAATCTCTTCTGCATGTCACAGAACACAAGCAAAGGTAGCACTTCTCATCTTGCACGGAAAACCTTGAATAAAATCTTCGAAATTCATAATGCACGTCTTGGGTGCACAGTCTTAAACAACCAGCATTAAACTTCAAAATGCCACGTTAAAATCTTTCAATTCCTGTATTTATTGTGTTTCATTCAATCTTCATTTTACTTTATATGTACTTTATTGTCTTCCCGTCACCAGCAACGTCGCATGCAAGCTCGCTAGTCGGAAATACGTCGGTCTTATATGTTACCCTGTCGACTGTGTCTCCGAATGCTACACAAGGACCCGATATATCTACGAATATCTCCCGAGTGTTACCATCCACGAGTCGTGTAATTAAGAATACGACGTCGTTTTCCTCGGTTATCTTGTCGACTGCGTCTCCCAATGCAACTAGGGGACACGACGCATCTACGAATATCTCCCGAATGCCTTTGACATCGACTTCAAACATTAGTAGCTTTGTGAATCCAACTCCAAGCTCTGAATTAAACCTGACGTCTGTTACAAGAACAATATACTTGACAAACTCTTCTACTGTAGACTTCAACACGACTACTCTTCAAACCACGAGTGTTAACAAAACAATAGAGATTAAAGATTGGAACTCTACAGTTGTGGGTGATTGGAACACTGTTACAATTCTACCAACAGTAACAACTCACAACTTGAGCTTCTCGTTACTGACGAGTACAGAGACCATGAATGCATCGATAAGTGTTACTCCAACCGTCGAGCTGTCAACAACGGTAGACCTCATAAACACATCATCAGTTTTGCCTTCGTTTACAACTGTTAACACAACGCTAAGTCCAACTCTCAGCATAGGTACCGTTAATTCTAGCAGCACTGCACATATGTTGACGAGTTTTGCCACTGTCAGCACAATTGCACTTAACAGCACTTTGCATGATAGTATCACCACGAAAAGTAGCTCTGTCATGGTAAATAGTACTGTTATATCAACATTATTTCCATCTACATCACTGTTACTACCATCACCACCAATGACAAGCAAAATGCCATCTGTAAACACCTCAGTTACCAACACCTCAGGAGTGCTCAGAACTGAGTTCGTATCATCAACAGCACCAGTAGTACAGAATTACTCTAGTTCCCTCATGATAAGCTCCACAACGACCATCTTAAACACGACAAGCTCAATACTGACCAACAATCAAACAGGTTCCTCACGAATAAGCCCTACATTGGTGACTACGACCAGGAAGACAATAATGTCGACACAAAACGACTCGCGTTCTCTGGAACCAAGCTCTACACTGATGATCCTAAACTCCACTAGTGTTTTGCCAAAGGAGAGTGAAATACTAACTAGTGTGATATCATCTTCGTCCATGGCGCTAATCAACTCGTCAAGTAGGATGAGCAACTGGTCTTCAATGATGACACCAAATACAACGAGTTCTTCTCAGTTTAGAGTGGCACAGTCAAGCACTTTGGTATCATCTTCGTCAATGGCGCTAATCAACTCTTCAAGTAGGATGAGCAACTGGTCTTCAATGATGACACCAAATGTAACGAGTTCTTCTCAGTTTATAGTGGCACTTACAAGCACTTTGGTACCATC